CTGGATCAAAATTTTTTCCTAAGGTGGTCAGCAGGCTATGTAGAGATGCCTGTGGGACATCGTTTTCAGACAGTCTCAGAAGGAACGTGCGGTTTTGAGTATTAGGATATTTACTGGGATATGCCTCTCTATAATCATTAGTAAGATAAAACTGCTTCAGAAATGTGGGTTGATCACATTGGCTTTAGTATTAACCCCCAAATGACTTTTTCCATCTTGCACAATGCAGTTGCAAATTCAGGGGACTGAATTTATGGGGTGACTTTATGGGATGAATGTAGCACCTGGATTCTAATCTGTTTTCTTCCTTTACTTTAGCACAGACTATTCAGTGTAGCATTTCGGCTGTACATCAGTATGAGCCCATATGATATTAGTTAGCTTACTCTCTAATATTTGCCGCCTCTATGTTTCAAGGGAGTATAGAGATTAGAAGATGGAAAATCCATAAAGTCCTAGGTAGTCATTACAAAAGGAAAAGTCCTAGTAATCAAGCTTTTGTTCCGGTAAAGGTTTTGACCCCTCATCCCTTCAATAATACTTATTTAGTGCTGTGTTCAACCTTGTTGTGAATGTCCACGAGACTGAGAGCAGAGCAGAAGATCAAACAGTCCGGGCAGTCATGGGAAGATCGGTTGGCATGTCTACACGAGATGCTTAATGCACTGTAGCCTAATCGACACGAGAAGTTTAATGCACAATAGCCTAATAACACAGTGCAGTAGCGCATCACAGCACAGACAGTGCTAATATGCTACTGCACCATATTAATCGATATGTCGGGAGCCAGAGGAAAAGCAAGGGCAATATCAGACCCCTGCTAAACCAGATGGGACAACTGACAACCGATGTCCAGGAAAAAGCCAACTTGCTAAATGGATACTTCGCATCAGTTTTTCACCAGTGCCAAGGGGTGCTCCTGCCCATTACAGGACAGGAGCACCTGGGTGAGGGTGATTCCTTACCCTCCATCAATGCTGACCTCATGAAGGAACACCTTGAGAGGCTGGACACCTTCAAGTCAGCTGCCCTGACAGTTTCCACCCCAGGATACTCAAGGAGCTGGCAAGCGTCATAGCTCAGCCCCTGGCACGGATCTTCGAGAACTCCTGGTGCTCTGGTGAAGTGACCGAAGATTGGAAGAAGGCCAATGTGGTGCCAATCTTCAAGAAAGGGAGGAAAGTGCATCCGGCAAACTACAGGCACATCACCCTGACCTCTGTCCCAGGGAAGGTCTTAGAAAAGATTATCAAAGAGACCATTCTTAACAGACTGGCTGATGGCAACATCCTGAGGGACAGCCAGCACGGGTTTGTTGCGGGTAGATCTTGCTTGACCAACCTCATTTCCTTCTACGACCAGGTGACATATCACCTGGACAAGGGGGAAGAGATTGATGTCGTATATCTTGACTTTAAAAAAGGCTTTGATCTGGTATCCCATGATCACCTCTTAGCAAAACTGGCCAACTGCGGCCTCGGCTTCACCACAGTCCATTGGCTGGGGAACTGACTCCGTGGTCGGATCCAGAGGGTGGTGGGTGACGGAAGTCAATCGTCGTGGTGCCCTGTGACCAGTGGGGTCCCCCAAGGCTCTGTCCTGGGGCCTATACTATTAAACATCTTCATTAATGATGTGGACTTTGGTATCAGAAGCGGACTGGCCAAGTTCACCAATGACACCAAACTTTGGGGTAAAGCATCCACACCTGAGGACAGGAGGGCAATCCAAGCTGACCTTGACAGGCTCAGGAAATGGGCAGACAAGAACCTGCTGGTGTTTAACACTGAAAAATGCAAGGTTCTCCACGTTGGGAGGAAAAACCTGCAGCATGCTTATAGGCTCGGCAGTGCTACGCTAGCTAGCACTACGGAAGAAAGGGACTTGGGGGTCATGATTAACCACAAGATGAACATGAGCTTTCAATGTGATGCTGTGACTAGTAAAGTGAGCAAAACGCTGGCTTGCATCCATAGATGCTTCTCAAGCAAATCCTGGGATGTCATTCTCCCGTTGTACTTGGCTTTGGTGAGGCCGCAGCTGGAGTACTGCATTGTTTTGGGCTCCACAATTCAAAAAGGACGTGGAGAGGCTGGAAAGAGGGCAGAGAAGAGCCATGTGCATGATCAGAGGGCAGGAAAACAGACCCTACGATGACAGGCTGAGAGCTATGGGACTCTTCAGCCTGGAAAAGCTCAGGCTCAGGGGTGATCTGGTGGCTGCCTATAAGTTTATCAGGGGTGCTCACCAGGATCTGGGGGAACATCTGTTCACCGGAGCGCCCCAAGGGATGACAAGGTCGAATGGTCACAAACTGCTCCGTGACCGTTTCAGGCTGGACATACGGAAGAACTTCTTTACTGTTCGAGCCCCCAAGGTCTGGAATAGACTGCCGCCAGAGGCGGTTCAAGCACCCACTTTGAATGCCTTCAAGAGACATTTGGATGTCTATCTTGCTGGGATCCTGTGACCCCAGCTGACTTCCTGCCCCTGGGCCAGGGGGCTGAACTCTGATCTTCCGAGGTCCCTTCCAGCCCTGATGTCTTTGAAATCTATGAAATTAGGCTATTGCTCAGTAGTGTCATTAAAAAGCTATTTGTTGGTGCTACTGTGCAGTAACTCTGGTTGCTATGCATGTATTTAGTACTTGATTATACACATGCTAAATTAAATGTGCAGTAACCACTGTGAATTAATAAACGTGTAGGTGGGCCCAGCATGTCCAATTGCTTCTGCTTCTGAGAAACTGGGAAGAGATTAACTCCTCATGCAGTTCCACACCTTGGACAGCTTCCTTGATGGTGTTTGGGCAGAAGCATAGGGAGAACTATTAGTAGTGAGAGGCTTTCTGGATCTCTCCAAACCCAGAATATGAGCTCCTCAGCTTCTTGATTCAGATACGGATACCCCTTTCTTGAACAGGGGGTTGGCCTAAATGCCTCTGTAGGTTCTTTTCAGCCCTACCTCTCTGTGAATCTGAGTTTTATTCCTTGCCAGAACTGTTTTTCAGCTAGATGGACCACATTCACCCTGGCAGCACTCCAATGCCTCTAGTAAAATCTGCTGACTGGGCAAGCATATGTATATGGATCATGGCCTGGGAAAAGGTGCAGGGCTCCAGCGCAGGTGACCAATAGATTGATAACTCACTACTGCAGCTGTGACATTTCCATTTAAATGGGATCCCTGCCATTGTCTGCAAGTCCCTGCAGTGGAATCTGCTGCACATGTCTCTTTTCACTTCATGCTGCTTTCTGCACTGATACGGTTGCTCAGCAAGTCACGGTAATGTCAGCAGATTCTATGCAAAGGGTTTAATGTATTCAATACAGTATTGCACTCGTCTGGAAAGAAATCCAGGAAGTGAAATAAAATGCATGTATTAGTATGGGGTGAGAGCTAGAGTTCTCTGTGGAACATCTAATCTAAAAGAAATGATTAAAACAGTTCCAAAGGACTTGCAGTTTCATTTAAAAAACCCTTGAAAAATTCACCGAGTGGTAGTTTGAGCCTGATATCACTTAAATTGATTTAATACTGGGATAGCTTCTTTGCTGGATGAATGACTCCTGATTTACACACCGGTGTATACGTGAGATCCGAATGAGAGCCCGCATATTGTTTGCAAAACAATCAAGGTAGATTTTAATGCTACTTTTCAAGTTTGAACAGTCTGTTGGTTGCCAGAGCTCCTGTGGCAGGTGAAGTCACAGAAATGCCCGTGGTATTTCTACTGGTTCTTCTGTCTCTTTTCCCTCATTGACCTTAGCTACTTCGGTCTCTCAAGAGATGAGACACCGGTCGTCAATTTTCCAGGAGAAGAGGTTTTACGTAGTTTTCTTTATAAGCCTTATTAAAACAAATGATTCAACCTCTCGACTCTGTCTGAAATTACAGTACTCAATAGGCATTTGAGAGGCGCTGATGCCTTGTCAAGTGATGCTCCTTGCTAATAACTTTTTTTTTGTCAATGAAAGTAAAAAGCCAGGTCTTCCCAATGGTAACCAGCCTGATCTCTGGGAAAACTGGTTCCAGTGTTCGGGAACAAACACGGCAGGAGGCATACCTAGTGAAAGCTCTCTAAGTTACTCAGTGAAACATGAACATTTCCTAACCAGCCAGTTATATGCAAAGAGCAAAACCAAATCACACCCTCACCAAGCCCAACCCAAGCATGAATGGTAATTAAAACTGATTTTAAAAAAAATGCATGAAAAAGCTTGAACTCAAAGGTAACAACAAAATGAATCAAACATCAGGCCGAACTTTAGGCAAATTAGCAACAAAATCACTCTGTGCAGCTATTTTGCTTTTCCTCTGAGGGCAGCAAATACTTCCAAAATCATTCGTGAAGCCTCACAACACTGCTGTGACGTGGGCATGTGGCATTCTGCTAATTTTGCGAGTGAGACTAATTATGTAGACCGGATTAAGTGATTTATCCCAGACCACACTTCGAGTCTGTGGGAGAATTAGGAACAGAGCCCAGGAAGTCTGATTTCCAGGTCCATGCCTTTGACTTGCTGTAACCTGGGGATAAATGCCTTCCTTACAAAACACATCCATAGCAATTCAATGTGAGGCCTCCAGGGGCTTTACTTATGTGATTTTGTGCAATTTGACTATATTTTAGGAGATTCATACCTCTATTTGCATGTATGGTTTTCTCATTTTAATTCCTAACACTCCATTAATTTAACACACTTTAATTCCTAACACACCCTTCTTCAATCTTACCATTAAAGAAACATAACAATGAACCAAAGGAAACTACATGGATGAGCAAGAAACTTGTATATCAATGCAGCAGGATAAAATCCATTATTTGTTCTCTGTTCAATGCCACACGGATGAAGTCAGCATTATTTCTGCTACTGACTTCGTTGGGGGCAGAACCAGGCCCATACCCATCAGCTCTGCACCCATATGAACCAGACTATATGATGAAATGAAACTCCTTCCACGTCATAATTGAAATTTCTATTTATTAATAAGTGGTGCAGTTTTTAAAGACAGAACATAAAAAAATCAGTTAAGAAGTATTGTTTGCATAATATATTGAAATAAACATATTAAAGTTGTTCAAATATTGGACAGTGCCAGAATATAAATTACAGGTACAGTTTAAAAATTACAATAAATAATATTATAAAGAGCACTAAAGGCCACTTGTAGAAAAGTTGTGTTCCCTTGTCAGCCAGAATCTGAAAAGCATCCTTGTAGCATGGAGAAAATTTCAGTGAGCAAGGCACAAATACTAGTAATAACCAAATGCCTAAACTAGAAAACAAAACGCAGTTGGCTATATAACCTCAAGTCGTAACCTACCCTTAAGATGGAAATAGGCTCCCACTTCCACTGTTTTGCTTCACTTAATGGCAGTGGAAACAGTTAAAAGCTGACCGGTGAGGATCAGGCTCTACAGCCTACATTTTCAAATGTGATTGGAGCTGGCAGGATCCTCATGTTTCTTTGAGACACCCAATGAAAGACTCCTTTAAAAGGGTCTGATTTTTAGAAGTGCTGCACACCCATCCTCTCAAAATCAAGCCCCTCCAAGGTGCCTTATGTCGGGCTCCTGAAAACTGAGACCACTCTGAAGTCATTAGCGACTGTTGAGGTGATACCCACATCCCTTCCACGCTTGAAACTCCACGTCAAGTCAGTGGGAGTGTGCGGTGTGTAAGGACACGAGATCTGGTTATTTAGTTACTTGCTGCAATTGCAAGAGCAAATCAGATCTGGTATAGCGGGTACAACTCCACAAGTTATCAGTGGAGCTGCAAAGAAGGCTGAATTTGCTCCTTAATTTGCACTGCCTGACAGCTGTAGGCACTGACCCTGCAAAGCGATCCGCAAGTAGATGAAACCCAAGTCAGGGTTCATACAGGTCCAGGCACAAATTAGCTTGCAGGGTCCTGGACCAAGAGAAGGACGAAGAACAGAGCAGTTTGCAGCAACAGAACGTTCCAACCATTCCCTCTTAAACAGTGCAGCAAAGGTCTAGACAAGAGCAAAGCACACGTAAACCAAAGGTGTTTTAGGGAGAGATCCTGGAGTCCTTTCACATGCTAAATTCCTACTAACTTCTCTAGGAATTGTACATGCCAAGCCACTGCAGGACCAAGCACAAGACCAGACAACACTCATTGTTTCAATAGATTTTTCTTAAAGGAACAATTCTGTAAATGGACCATACAACCGGGTTAGATAAAACTGGACACTTGCGCTTGACATCTGCATCTGCAATAATGAAACACCTTCAGTTTTAATGTAGAGAAAAATCAGAGGGTATAAAATAAAGCTGAGAGGAGAGCCACACAATGTAAACATAGACTAGCCTTTCCCAAAACCTATACATGCGCTTGACTTGTTACACAGAAAGAATCAGTATAAAAACATAACTAATACAAAAAAGTGAGCTGATCATTTGCATTTTGGAATGATCATTTCTGGAATGAATCCAAATATATCCACATATACATATTTAAAAAAAAAATTTTAAAAAGGTTAGGACCTGCCTTTGCTCCCAGTTAAATAAAAAAAAATCAATATAAGATTTGCCACTGACTTTAGGGACCAAAGAATAAATGCCTAAGTACTTGCTAATTATGAGAGGGCTAGGATGCCATTCACATCACAAGATGTATTTTCCAGCCCTGAAATACATGGTTGATCTCCAGCAGTTGTTAAGTCAGCAAAGAGTGCATTCATCCTATGTCAAGTTAATTTAATCCTTTTAAAATTAAGCAGATTAACAATGATTTCATCCTATTTAAAGGTTAATGATGTGTAAACAAAGAGTCAGTGTCACCCCAGACATTAGGAAGGTCTGCCCTTACTGTAATTGCTAGCACTGAAATGCCATGTGCTAATGCGAGATGGTATAAATCCACCTCACTCCTACTATAAAAATTAACGTTGACCTAGACGTTGCCGTCAGATGAAATGCTGAACCATGCTTCCCGGCGCATGCAGCAAACCATTTGTACAATACAGATCCTGACTTCCAAAGTATTGTGTTAAAACAGGCTAATAATCTTTATTTCATTTTGCCCAAATACCAGGTCACTTTCTTAAGTGCACAAATTGCAGCTATTAGTTTCGTTTGATTATAGTCAAAGGAATACAAGCTTGGCTGCCATCCAGATTGATCTCAGAGGCGCCTAAACAGGACCTAGGTGGGTTTTCAGCCCCTAAAGTCACTAGAAGCAATGCAGTTTGACCCAGTTCCACTGGTGATGAACCCAGTAGGTGCCTATAGACTAGTAATGCTTCCATTTTGGATGCCGAGTTCCCAGGTTGTCTACTACCTGAGCCTGCCCAGAAATGATCCAGCTTGAGCAACTCCTGTTGTGAACCAGATTGATGCTAAGGAGGCCCTGGTAATACTTGATCTATTAGGCATTCTCCACACACTTAATTTGCATCAACAGTGCTGAACTCAACTCAACTGCGATGATTGTGGCAGCATTCAAATCTCTTGCCCCATCGTCTAGTGGGCAGAGCAGTCACAGGAAGAGGCAGGCCTGGGTTTTAGGTTTGCCTCAGCCTGGGTGGGATTTGAAACCTACTTTCTTGTTTCTCTGGCTGTGTCTGACTTCTCAGGGCCTCTCTGACTTTCTCAATCAACGGAAGTGCCAGACCCTTTGCCTTGACTGTATGGGGTGCCTAAACGTGGTCAAAGTGATTGCTTTTCATGCCAAGGCTTACAGGGTGCCTACACACGTGCTCTGATGCATTCTTATTAGAACACGTCGGGGCAGACTCAATTAATCGAGTCTGCTCCGTGTTCTAATTAGAACGCTCTAGCGTCACTGCAGCGTCATGTGTATAAGTCCCCATGGGTTTAAAAATGGCCACTGGGGTGCTTTAACTTTTAGCTTCAGTTAAACCATCCTGTGGCTATTTTAAAATGTCTAATGGCTTAATACACGTGACACTGCATCATTTTAATTGGAGTGGCTCTCTGGGAACTGCTCCAACGCCCCCCCCAACGCACCCATGAGCACATGTATAGGCACCCCTAGGTTTTAGGCTCTGGCATGCTTAAATGTAGGTCCAATGTGGATCTGCGCCCTGTGTCTAATGATATAATTAATTAGTAAACAATATGTCAGTCTAAATTTTCACAGGCCTTTGAAGCAGATTCCCAAATTCCTTTCCTTGTATAGGCTCCATATGGATTTCCATGTTTACATATACACACTGCTAACATACACACAGCAATCAGGTAGATCGTTAATGCCCCAGGGAACACACAAAAATGACCATCTATAAAAAAGAAAGTCAGACTTTATATGTAGTACTTGGAGGCACATTTTTGGAGGATGCTGTGATTCACAAGGCCAACTCCTCCACCCGTGTAAACCAGAGTGGGCCCAGTTTGATGGAAAGATGCTGATTTATACCCATACAGGATCTGGCTCAAAAGGTACATACTAGATAATAGTCAGCAAGCATGTAGATCCATGTAGGTCCAAGGTATTTAGTTACTTAACTCCCACTGATAGTAAAGTAGGTCCCCACTGACCTCTCAGAAGCTGGGCCATGGTAGTGAAGTTTTTCTGCAGCCTACTTTGAAGTTGCCTTAATATTCAGATGGTCCCAAGATGCAAGTTTGAATGTTTGAGCATGCATGGCTTTGGGATCTTTGTTCAGTCCCATATGGAAACACATGGAAAATACAGAAAGGCTGGCTACACATCTTCTCAGAGGGGAAAAAGTAATGAATAAATAACCAGGGTTATTATGCCCAATGAATAAATAACCAGATTTCTGGTTCAACTGACAAAACCACTGTATTTCTTCTTAAATTATTAGGTCACTATCTTCTATTTCCTGTTCACAGTATCCTGAAAGAATTGGGTGATAGTTGTGCAGTCTAAAATATAACAGGACGACATCTTGGCCAATTCCTGAGCTCCTTATCCAAATTTTCCTTAGGTTTTGCTCAGGCAAATTCCCATCAACTTCAACAGGAATTTGCTTGGCTAAAGATCAAGCAAGGGTCTAAGGATGGGGTAGAATGTTGTTTTCAGAGTAAATGGTCCTATTTAATTTGGGAATTATGCTATCATAATGTTGTCAGGCCCCATATGGCATCCTTCTCCTGACTGACTGACTCATTCTTATTTTGACGCGTGTTCTACAAAACTGCTATTTTAAAATATCTGCAATGATGTGATCAACCCTCAGGTTTGATTCAGGCCTTCTTGGGGGGCTGAGTGCAGGGAGATGCATGTTGAGGATGCAAAAGCAGCAGGGATGTAGCCACACTCTCAACCCAGCTGCTGCTGTATGCAAAGAGCGTCTTCATAGATGACTTCTCCAAAGGGAGGAGTGATCTGTGTCAGGTTATTGTGGCATCCTATGCTATAGGGAGACATGACTTCCAGCCACTTTGAAAAGGAAAAATTAGTTGCTGCTCTGGAGGGAGCAATGGATGGAACGGTTACACCTGCATGCGATGGCAGGGTCACAAGTGAGCTACATGGCTGGAATTTCAATCCTGGATGAAACTGGGTTAAAGTTGCAGCTGTTCTGCTACCCTTGTATCACTATAGGAGCAGCGAATTTAACAGTTACATAGTCATTTTATACTAGGAAGATTATACCAGGATCATTTGAAAATGAGGCAATTGTAATGTCTTTCTCTACCCTTAGACAACATAAACACTAAAATGAGCTCACCGTTCCCCATGACACAGAACTTGGGCTTTTCCTTGCTCTTCTATGTAAGACAGCAGTGTCAGTTCTGCGGACTGTAGGGGATCCCAGCAGTTGTGCCCTGCTGATATTTATATATAATTGACATAAAACAATTAAGAAAAGCAGCCCAACCTCATTTGACCTGAAGCACATCATTCAATATTTCATTGTGTCAGTGTAGTAGGATAGCTCCCAATTCTGATCCTATCCATTGTTTTCACTTTTGAATCACTGAAATTCCCTGATGCTACTTGTGGCAAATCCGTGCTCACAGCCCAGTAGTAAATGTTCACTTTAAGGCAATTCAGCTATTAAGTACAGACATTGTGGGATAATCAGTCATTTTTCACCCCAGTCTTTATGGCTGCATTTTTATACAGTTATCTAGTACTGGCTGAATCAAACAATTACCCTGACTTTTTGTGTGTCCTTCATATAATGTACCATTAAAATAATAGTGTTTATTTTATTTCCTCCCCTGGTTTTTTCTGAGCATACTATACACTATTTCACAATCTATTTTTTAAAGAATACCGTAACTTGAAAAAAATAGTAACTTTCAAAATATTTATCTAGAGTTAATACTGGAAAACTTGTCACATTATGTTACCATACAAGCTTAGAGCTGAACTGTAGCTTTTAAAGCCTGCACTTCAATGCAGAAGGATGAGGTTGGGGTGGGGGTGGGAAAAAGGAGGGGACACAGAGGTGCATTTCACCATCTGCAGTCAGTGGAGACATTCAGACGCAAATTTTCCATACGCTTGCCTCAGTTTTTGGTTGCTCAGTTCTCTAAACATGTGGCCTGGTTTTCAGAAAAGTTGAGCATTCACAACCCAAATTGAAATCCATGTACTTTGAACATCGAGAAAACCTGGTGTGTTTCTACTGTAAATAATTCTATACATCTGCAAACCAGTTCAATAGTATTAATCATGGACATAGATGAAAATCTTTCCATTTAATTTTCACACAAGTGTTTTGCTGCAGATGAAACCCATTCACTCCTGTCCTGACTTCTGTGGCAAGGGACAATATTTGTTCTTCTTTATGGCAGCCTTTCAAACATTTGAAAACTGCTACTGCGTCCTCACTGTCTTCTTTTCTCCAAACTCAACATACCTAGCTACCACAGGAGCACCTCCTGCTGCTATTGCCCTTGTGTTTCAAGTCGTGGAGCATGCATAGCTCTGGAACATGAGGAGGAAGGGCAAAACACAGGGAGGGTGAGCAGCTGTATTTGGGGTTCACAAACCCTTTGCCATTTGGATCTTGGTTTTTTAGGAGATCTTGTACCCCTGCAGGGTAGGTGTGTTTGGGTAGACCAGGTCTAGGTTATCTGTAGGGATACTCCTACCTTTTGTAGAGGTGATCCCATCCATCAGAACGAAACAGGCTTGAAAAAGCAGCTCCATTGCTGCCCTGTGGGTTTGTGGGAAGGATTTTTTCCCCACTTCCCTTGCAAGAAACTACAGTGCCCAGCAGAGTTATCTAAGATGGCTGTGAAACGGAGGTTCATCTGTATTGATCTGGGCTGGGTCCACAAACCTGGCCTGAAGTATGTCTGACGTACATTTATTTAGATGGCTCCGTTTGCGCTAGGACTACTAGGCTGTGTCCTGCCAACACCCTGCAGGTAGAAGTCCCACCGGACAGCACCGCATAGCAACACTTGCATTCCTAATGTGCCTTTCATCTGAGGCTCTCAACGCGCTGTATGAAACATAAGTGAATTGAGCCTCACAACCCCCATGTGAGGTAGGGAAGTATAATTCCCATTTTACAGATTGGGAAACTGAGGCACCGATACGTGACTTGCGTAACATCAAACGAGTTAGTAAAAGAACTAAGAACAGAACCCAGGAGTCCCCTACATGATCACTTGTTTGGTTTTTTTTATCAATGTCAGTGGGAAGTTTGGTTTCATTACAAATAAATAGAATTAGCAAACAATTTGCTATAAAATAAGATTGATTATACTCACACTGGTGGCAATTATATAACTTGTGGCGGAGATTTCCAAGTAGTAGTCAAGAGGATTTATGTTGATATGTGGTATTAAAGAAACAGGTATCTAGTTCCCCCAAGTGGTTTTGAAAATCACAAATTTTACCCCTCATTTCTATTTTACACTGTATTTGATACAGTAAGATTGGCATTAGAGGTGACAGGAGAAATCATGTAATAGAGATCACAAATTTTGATTCCAACTTTCCCCTACTTGAAATTGCAGATGCTTTTGTCTAATTTGGGTGGAAAATGATTCACTAGCATTGGAAATAACGGTGGTGCCAGAGAGAAGACAATTTAGATTTTTCCTTCTCACAAAGGAACTTTGCTCCTGAAACGATTTTTACTTTGTTGCTCTGTTTATAAAAAGTAGCTTGAACCATCACATCTCACCTGTCATTGATCTGACCATCATTATATTGAAGAACATCAGATAGATATGTATCAGAGAAGAACTTACCTGTACCATTTATATAGGGTAACGTCATGCAAACCATGCTCAAAACTAAACTCTTTAGTTTTGGTAGCATGAAAAAAACTGCATTAGTAAATTGTATGAAATGGTGCAGAATGACTACCACTAATATCACATGCATCTTATGCAGCCATTGGTGCTTTGAACAAGTAAGCTTTGGGTGTATAGTAGGTGAGATGTACAAAGTGTGTTTACATTACACGGAGAAGTCGACCAGTGACCCCTCCCCTCTCTTAAACCGGCTTGTTTGAAGGGGTCCATATTGAATCTGAAATCCCATCCCCTGTTGAAGACAGAGGCATGGAGCCACTTGGTGTAAAAGGGTCAGTATCTGTGTCCGTCTCGCCCTCGGCTAGATAGCGTTTCTCTCGCATCCATGCTGATCCCCCATTTGGACCAAAAAGGAAGTCGTCTTTGTCTTGGGAGATACTGAAGCCGCTTGGTGACCGTTCGAGCTCTTCATGGTTGACTGAGAGAAGGGATAACGGGGTGTCACTGTCTCTTGTCAAGCTCCTTTTCTGCCTCGGAGAAATCCTATCTGAGTAGGGGCTCTGCTGGTCTCCTGGGGACGGGTAGCTAACCTGGGAGTCCATCAATGTGAGTATAGGCAAAACTGTTGGCCTCTCTGCATGTGACGTTGAAGAGGGGGTGGCTTGCGATCTCCCAGAGTTCTGTCCCCGTAATGACAAAGACCGCGAATAATTCATCGGATCCTGTGCTAAGAAACCATACGGGCTGACTTTGTTTACTGGAACCTGGTGGAAAGTATAAGGAGTTTCTTGAGTGCAAGGCTCAGTGTATTTGTAAAGGATGCTTTTCAATTCAGAATATCTGTTTTCCTCTTTCTTCTCTGCTGGAGAGATGGCCTCTTTCAATGGCGTTAACTCAGTGACCTGGACTTGCAGCTGCTCCATATGATGCATGTGCATGTCTACTAGAAAATCCAGTTTCTTCCCCATGTCGTGAACCTGAAAAACACCAATACCAGTGAGCGACTGGAAGTGATCTGCAGCTGGGGATTCGGTATGACAGACAGCAGTTATCTCTACAATATATTTTCCCACCACTCGTAATCTATCACAAAAGCAAGAGAACTATGGGGTGTTTCCTCAGGTCCTTTGTTGCAAAGAGTGTCTCAGCTTTAACTTGACCTTGTTTTATTTCACTATATGAGCTGGAAGAAAATAGCCATTTTCCTCTTTTGTGTGTTTTCTTCTGGTTCAAGGGTGATAAATATATGGGTTTGCTGTGTAGCCTGCAGGGATTCCAAGGGGGGTGGGAATTTTTGGGCAGGTCCTAATGCCAAAATTCAGGGTTTTTAGCCCTGTTGGGGGATACGTGTCAGTGGTAGCGGGGCGACGGTGGTGTTAACCCCATGCTCCCACCACCTCTGGATCTGGCCTGTAAGGAAGCCTATGGTCCAGATCTAGTTTGTGGAGAAAAGTGAGGATGACACCTGTTCTAGTTTCATAGGTCAAGACCAGCCCCCAGTGACTGGAGTAGTGATGTAAAGCACAACAGTTAGACGGCCAGAAGCCCCGTCCCAGGAGAGAATAAGAAGAGCCCCACAGTCTAAAGCAGGTGAATATTGGAGGTGACCACACTCAGCAGCAAGAGACTGAAGCAGAGCTCCACAACTGGCTTATGAAAGAAGATTAAAGGGCTGGGATGAGATTATGGAGGGGATACAGAAAGGGGAGTTCTGGCCGTCCTGTAAGAGGGTGTGATGTTTAGAGTTATGCTTGCTGGCCCCAGGCTGCAGAGCAAAATGGAGGGGGTTTAGTATTTCCCATGCTTCTGGGCTTTGCTGGTTGCCAAACAGGGCCCAACTTTTCTATGAGTCTATGATTAGTGTTCAAAGATCAAAAGCTATTATGATGTATGGCCATTTGGAAGCTTCAGTCCAATTCCCAGAACAGCCTAGGGTCTTCATCACTAAGGCCAGCGTAGCCGTTGTTGGTGACCATGACAGAAAGGCTACAGACTGATTTAGCCACAGCTGATGAAATATTCTCTAACTCACTTTAGTAGCTCCTGCCAAGTCATGGCTATGTCTCAGCCATGACTTCCATCTTTGTGAAAGCTATCTGTACATCCACACTTCGACATCCACAAAATTAACTGCTGATGTAAAACCAAGCCCCACAACTTAACCAAACGGAGCCATAAACCCAACTTCTCCATCTTATGTGCACCCAAACATATATATTTAGAAGTGCATGTACTGCAATTTGCACAGACAACTGAATTATAGGCAGACAGATTGTCACAATTTGCACTCATCAAGTGCATCCTTTTATATATTTGATGCAGCAAAACAAGCATCAACCACAGCCACTGCAGCCAGTGCTGGGATAGTCTCCAAGCAACGAACACACAGATATGAACACAATTGGACTTTGGGGATGCTGCAAATCTGTACTGAAAATTCATGGCGCATGCCCATCCTGCTAAATGAGAGGAAGATGCAGTAATTCGTTTGCAAAATACACAATAATCAGTGAATTGAACAAATTAACGGAAAATTAACATGAACGTCCCTCTATCTTGAAAATACTTACCCGTCTTTCAACTTTAACAAATTTGCCCATCATGCTTTGGTCTTCAGTATCTACTGTGGATGCTTTGGCTACATATGGATCATTTCTAAAAAGAATCAACAGTTCCATTAGTATTTTATGTTCCATTTTATTACATTTGTATAACATTATAGGAGCAAAGTTTAATTGCAAAATGATTACTGTTTTATTGTGGTAACTTCTTTGAATCCCAGTAATGGGCCAAAATGTGATGGTGCAAGGCACTGCACACACATAAATGACAGTCCAAACATCTTGTATGGACAATTTCAAAATTAACATTTCTGCTTTTCCTGCCTGAAATGACTTTTTGGATCAAAACTTAATTATTAAAAAAAAAAAATCAAAACTAAAATAAAATACTTCGATTAACCTAGACAGGTTTTATTGTTTTTTAATTTTGATTTTGGGCAGTTTTCAAGTTTTTGGTGGCCTTACTCGAGGTGGGAAAAATTTTGAATTCTTGAACATTTCTGTGGGATGGAAACACAGTTTTCTGTCCATCTGTATAAAACAGTAGCTGTTTATCATAATACATCAGACCCTTGTTTTGCTATCCAGCTCTGGGAATTTAAATTAAACAAATGTTTAATTAATATGCAATTTAAATCAGCCAAAAGTTTGCAGCCCAAAGACTCTGAACTTCATCAGACAATGGCTAAATGAGGGGAAGAGAAGGTTGTTAAATAACTGCTGAGGAGGTTATGATGGCACGTACAAGTATTTGAAGGTCTGACACAAGGGTAACAGAATAGGATGACTCGTGTAGAGAAATGAGGTAAAATGGGAAGTAAAGGAAATTTGGCATTTATCAGTTAATGTGGTAGCACACTGGCTATGTGAACGAAGTAAAGTTTTTAGGGTACATGGACATATTATTTCTGTTGCAGTTTATGAGAAACATTAAGTAAAATAATTTTACCTGGGAGACTGTTGTGAAGGGTAAGAAAAAGCTCCTCCTTTTTGGGATTTCTTATGCTTGGGAGTAGATGGTGGTCCAGGTGTAAAAATCATATCTACTCTGGAAAAAGAGAGGAGGGGGACATGACACAAGTGCATAAGGTCTATATATACTTACAAGAAATGAGATCGACAACTTATCTCTGCAGCAAACAATATTATACGAGTACGATGATGGAGCGTGAAGGCACCAGACTAGGAATGACATGTTTGTGCCTGGTTACACAGCAAGAAAATGGCAACACTGAGAGTCCCACTTCCTTACCATAATTTCTAGACAATACTCTCTTCACGTGCAATTATCAGAACAATTTGCTTCTTTTTCTTTTCAAAGGAGACAATGCCACATTTCTGTTTCTGAAGGATGATAAACTGGTTATTGCTTTGTGCTAACCTTCTTTCAAAGGCACCTGGAAAGTTGAATTATTGTGTGAAGGAACCACATTTGTTCCTGCGTTCCTGCACAGCTTCTTGACTGATTCTGAATTGTCCAGCACAGCACTGCTCCACCTCCAACCCCAGGACCTGTGTGATCCAGTCCGAAGGGCTCCTCCTAGGTCCACAAATTTGGTGGCGGGGGAGTAGTGGCAG